CATTTAATATGGGAAAAATTTACAACTCAGGCTTTATCTATCTCAAAATCAAAAATCAGGTCCCAAGGTTTAGAATTGCAAAAATCAGGTTTTTCATAAATTAATTAATTATATTTCACAATTATTATATTAAATTAAATATTAAATTGTAATATAATATAATTAATCCACTTCATCCCAACCCACCCCCACCCCCACCTCCCCTTCCCGTATTGCTCCGACGACTACACCGGTGACTGGCAACTGTTCTCCGATCACAGATAAAAAATTTAGTAGGTCGCAGATTATTTCGAAGTCTTTAAAGGTCATAAATTATTTTATTGGTCACAGATCAAAAATTTTGTAGGTCACGAATTATTTCAAGGTCACAAATCTAAAATTTTATAGGTCACAGATTATTCTATTGGTCACAGATCAAAAAAATTATATGTCACAGCTCACGTATTTTCAAATTTGTTGGTCACATATTTTTTTTTTAATTACAAATTGTCAATTTTAAAGTCACAGTTCAATGGTTAGGCTACAGACACCAAAAAGAACAACCACTGCCATTGACCCCACCACAACAATAACAAAAAATGACCACCACCACACGGATCACCATCACCACCACACGACCGCCAACACAGATCCACGACCACCTCCCAAAACATACCACCACAAATCCACCACCTCTACAACTACACATCCCCAGATCTACGACATTACACATCCCCAGATCTGCGGCAACACAACTTCATTCCCAAACATAATCACCAACAATAACACCAACAACAACCACCACCCAAACCACCACCATCGTCGCCTGCACAGCACCACCAACATCGTCGCCCCCGTCACACCACCACCACAACCATCGCCATAATAATAAAAAAAAACAACCATCCCATCGCCGCCTGCACCACCACACCAAGAAAACCACCATCACCGCTGTCGACCCCACCACAACTATCGCCACAACAATATTAACAAATCACCAAAAGGAAAAGAATCATCTATTCGCCGCTTGCACCGCCACACCAAAAAAACCATCACAGCCGTCGACCCCACCACAACTATCGCCACAACAATATTATCAATACACCAAAAGGAAAAGAATCATCTATTCCAACAATAGAAGCAGCCTGAACCATGGTAGAGAGAAATCACGAGGTCTCAAAAAATAGAATGCAAAGCACTCTCAAATTAATTTACCTTTTCACCTGCTATTTATTCCAAAGAAGGTCAGAAAAATACTGTGTTTAAAGAATCCAAGCTCCCTGGTGTTGAATCAGATGAAACTGAGGAAAGTGCTTCGTCTTCTTTTGCAGCACCTTCAAAACCCGAGACAAAGATAAAATTTGACTTAAATGAAGGTTTGATAGTAAATGATGGAAAATATGGGGAGCCAGTGAACTGTATAGCTCCAAATTCAACCAGTGTTCATGTGATTAACCCATTACTTTCTGCTGTAAGTTCCATGGCCAATGTCCTTCCTGCTTCCATTACAGTAGCTGCTGCAACAAACACCCGTAGCCCTGTGAACGGCGCTGCTGCGAGAATGGAGGGCGGGGGGAGGGAGGGAAAGAAAGGAGAATGGGAGGGGGAGGCGGCGACAGACGATGGCGGCGGCAGGAGAGTGGAATGAGGAAATGTTGGAATACATTTAGGGTTTGAATTAGATTTAATTTGGGGGTTGGCGTGAATATATAGATTAATTTAATTTAAAATATCATTATTAATTGTGAAATTAAAACCTGATTTTTAAAAACATCAAATTAAACACTTGATTTTATGTAATTACCACTAATTGGTCCAGATCGCCCCTCACAAAGGGTGGGCCTACCCTATTTTTTTTTCTCTTAAATACTTGTGGGCCCGCCCCTTTGTGAGGGGTCTTGTGAAAGTAATGCCCGTACTCCGAATTTATTCCACAGCATCAAACTCCTTATAAGGTAATCAGTACAACTGTTTCTTCATCTGAAAAGAAATACAAAGCCCACAGAATATGAAGTGGTGTAAGCCAAAAGGCAAACTCTTCCTTGAGAATCACAAGCTTGTTTCACTACCGCTACTTCTTCACTCCCTTTAATAAAACCCACAATTTTCTCATAAATTTTCAGTACAAATCTGAAATTTGTTGGAAAACCATGCCTCGGAGAGTAAAAAATCCGGTGGGTCCTATGCCATGTGTCAATATGCGGTGGACAGTATAGATGCTATTTTTTGCAGCCATTTTCGCCGGCGAGAAGCTTCTGTAAGGCAATAAAATGCAAGCAGCTATTATTTTTTTAATTTCCATATTGCATGCCATGCAATACTCTTCTTCTTTTCATTCAATATAATTTTGTTAATAATTGGTGTTCTCTTTGCTTCTTTTGATTTTCTTCACTTCTTCCTGCTTCTCTGGGGTTGGGTTGGGGTAACTTTATTCTCTATCTTTCCCAAAGTAGATACAATACAAATTACAAATCTGAATATAAGAAGGCGGTGTATATGAATAATTGATATTCTGTTGCTTCTCTAGATTTTCTTTACTTCTCCCTGCTTCTATGGGTGGGGGTTGGGGCTGGGTGACTTTATTCTGTCTTTCCAAAAGTAGATACAATTCAATTACAAATCTGAATATGGAAAGCGGTGGGTTTGGAAATCTCACTGGTTCTGGATCATTCGTGACATGGCTTGTGTGGGATAATTTTTTTTGAAAATCATTAACTACCAGCACATTTTATTGGACTCGTAAATTTTCTCTACACTTCCAACTATTTATTCTCTAAAAACCAGTAAGGAATGAACGATTCATTTCGTCGTGGATCATTCTGGAAATAACCTCAACATACCAGCCGTTCTGGTCAAGTGCATATTTGGCCCCATTTTAATGAGATTTTGGAAATAATATATTTTGGAATATCAATTTTTAGGAAAACGTGCGGTTAAAAATAGAATGAAAAGCTTTTTGTTTGTGTAATATCATTTTATCGTAGATAGCTTGGTTGAAAAGAAGAAAGAAAAAAATTGTGTGAAAATTTTAATAGAGACCAAACAAGGTCTAAGTTTTGATGGTACAGTCCACCATAGTTGTGTTAGTAAAAGGGTACTCCTAGTTCAGCCTCAAAAATAATCTAAAATGCATTTATTTCAACAGTTAGTTATTTTTCAATCTTTTGTAGAGAATGCTCCGCATCTCTTTCGGATATTGACAAAGTAGATGCAGCAAGTGCTTATAAATTGTTGGTCTTGCTGTGTGATAAAAGGTGGATGGTAAAAGTATGTATGACAGCTTAAATAGTAAGCTAAGCTTTTGCCAAATATGCACAAAGTAGGGTAACTAATAAAATTGACATCCAAATCCATAATAGTTTTTTTACCATAACACAGTTAGAAGCTTATTGATATAGGTGAAACCTGTGTGTAAAGCAGTACATATTATTCACCAAGAATCTAGACGAAAACATATTACTGATAAAGTTGCTTTGTTTCAGTCGGCATTGGGAATTGTCAATCTCCATTCAAAGCAAATCGAGCAATACATGTTGTTCACTCAACATTGGAGTATATGGGAGAGCACTGAGATCCATAAGCATCCTGTTCCTGCTCTCATCCATCTCGTTTCCACCTACCTGTAAGTGCAGTGAGAATTTTTTTTTGAGCATTTATTTTCCTTTAGAAACTCATTTGTTATTGTTATTTTTGCTCTAAGGTGGGATTTATCAAGACTTAGTTTACCTTCTCCCTGAGAAGCCTGTTCTCTTCTGGCAGCAAGTTCTCCTGCTCAAAAAAGCAATCATGTAAGCAGTTCTAGCTATATATATTCAGATTGAACCCTTATTTGGGAGAGGCACCAATACTTGTTACTTCCATATACTTTTAACTTCATACTCAATGATGACATTTTTTTTTGTGCAGTAAAAACATCGAATTGCATGAATATTGTTGCATCACGATTTTTTCTTATACAGTTGTATGTTCCGTTGAACAGTTATATATGATATTTGCCTAGTCTAGGAGTATTCTCATTAGAGTATAAATATTAGCCTCATAGAACTCTGAACTATCTTCCTTTCTCTAAATAACCATTGAGCTTAGGGTCTCGAGAGAAACAAGCGATAAATCATCGTGTTCTTGAAGGCACGGATCACTTGAGTTGAAACTTGAAATGCTCACACCTAACTTGAACAAAAGCTGATTATATCATCAACATAGAAGAACAGTCACAAATTGAACTCACTAGCCATTCTGTCTTGCCATTTGATTCGACAAATGGTAAATCAGTTCACAAAGTTGAACAAATTACTAGAATTAGATGTCATGCCTAATAATTATTTCATGTGAAACCTCATCAGTTGCCTAATCTCAGACTTGTACATCCACCTCCGCAACCCTCTTAGCAGTAATATCTACTACATGCTTCTAAGCTAGTTTTTGGTTAATCCAGCTTGGAACCCGGAAATAATTTTTTCCCTGAACTTGTTATTTTACCCAAGGACTATTTTCTCTCCGTTTATAAAAGCTGCCAAAGCTAGGTTCTAATTTCGAAACAGAACATCAATCAGAGTTCATCATTTACAGATGTCATGCTTCCAAATTTGTTATATCAGCGTTCAATGTTCGCTTCCTAAGATCCTTTTTCCAGGTTACCCCAAAAATGAATCCGTGAAGTTTCTGATAAAAAAAGCCTAAACTTACTCAAAACTTATTTACTTTTTTCCCTACATGTGGCTTCAAACTATCTTTTCTTCGGATAAAAGTTCCCTCCTTTCTATCTCCCACACACTGTTTTCTTTTTTAATGACAAGATGTTCAAAACTTGGTGATTCTATTTTTTCAATACATTGTTCTCCCTTAATTGGACACCATCTAATCTGAGTATACCAACTGTTGACCCCAAAAAACGTAACCCAAATGTGGACAACAGATGCCGGGCCCATCCATGCCAATTCAAGTAGAATCTGACGCGTTTTGACCTGACAACCGGTGAGAGAAGGAGAACACGTGAATAGGGGAGATGCTTTACGATGCAAGACAGAAATGTTCAAGCACCGACGATAGTGATTAGAATGATTGCACTAATAAAAAATCTCCAGCAAAAAGTAACTAACTTAGGATTAAACTAACAAGTATAAAACAAGCAAGATGTATCCTTGAGAGTATTGGATTTGGTATTCAAATGACTATCCAAAAATTCAAGATCCCCAAAAATTCTTTACTATTTACAAAGATCACCTATTTTTATAGTGTTCTGGTGTCCGTTGGATTAAAACCACGTTGCCTTATCTCCTAGACTGAAGCCACACATTACTAAGTCTATCATATAATAAATATATTGACAACGGGTCCCTAACATTTTTTATTACAAATGTTACATCAATGATTCCTTAAAATTGTCTATAGATCTTGTAAGAGATAACCTCAGCTCTAGGGACTTCGTATGTACTAAGGGCTTCTGTTGGAGGGAGCTTCGTATTGGTAGTCCTCTATGTGAAGAGCTTCGTTTTCTTCATTGATTTCTTATGTAGTGTTTTGACTTCTTTTCTTTCGACCACTTGGGTCTTTGTTGACTTTTCTTTCCACGTAAACACGACGTGGCACTTTGACTGGAGCCTCGGTGGCGAGGAGTAACACCAACATAATAAAATGGAGCTCTAAAGATGATGTTGATAGAGCTCCCATTATCTACTTACATTCTTTTTAGGCCATTGCGAACTATAACGACCTTCACTACTAGGGTATCATAATGTAGATAATGCATGCCAACTGAATCGTCTTGGGAGAAGGTGATGGTTTAAGCCCTTTTCTCGGTGGAGGGTCGGTTATTTACTATGAAGCTCGCCATGGGGAGGTCCCTTGTGTAGTTTCTTTGGGAGTTATTGGATTCTACCCTAACATACGGGCCTCCAAAAGTTGTATCAATCTCACCGATGGGTACACGGCTAATATCAACTGGGATGCTCCTACTTTGCCTTTGACTTCCCCTGGTTCTTTTCCCATCAATGTCCTTTTTTCGAGGAATGTTGCCTCTATCGGGATGCCTCGGTTCATCATTCTTGGGTTGTCGGTTCGCCCTAGGAGGAGCGTCTTTTTGGAGGCGCCTATTTCTCCATTGATTATTGTTCTGGGGGTGCAATATCTCTGTACCTAGCAGTGCTATGGCTATATGATAGATGGTATGTGCAATAGAGGGGCACTTTGTCCCTATTTTTAGGTTCAGCGCTTCTCCCCCTTCCTCTCCTTATTTGGGGAAAATGTTAGTGGGGTCTGCCTTGGTACATTTTGGTACCAAGATTCACTTCCTCGTAAACCAAATTAGGCACTGCATTTAAAGTTGCTATGGCCAATGCTTGTTCTGGATTTAGAGAGATCGTCGGTCAAATTTGGTGATCCATCAAATGTTAGGTTGAGCCTCTTTCTCTTTGCTTTTGAGGAGGTAGAAGCCCTTGGTTTGTCCTATTTCTGTGATCTCTCAATTCTTCATTGATGATCTTACGCCTTATCATTTCCGTTAAGGCATCATAACTAGTAAGGTCTTTGTTTTGCACATCTCTCCAGAAGAGAGAATTCATGTCTAGTCCTCCCTTTAAGGCTGTCAGCTGTCATAATCATCGTCAGGATCGCAGGACCTTTGTGGACCATTTGAGTCTTCATCTTCCCCAATCGAAGTTTCTAGAGGTAGTTGGGAAGGTCCTGCTTGGTTCCTAGCCTGTTCCGCTCTTCTCTCACGCCATTTCTTGAGGGAGGATTCTGAAGCCTTTCGTCATATATCTCAGTTCATGCCTTTCAAACCAGGGAAGTTCTTGTTGCCTATTTCTAGGTGCATGGGGAGGTTGAGCCTGCCTATTCCTAGGCAGCAGCCCTGGGCTCAGCCGTCAAAGACTCTTCTCGACCTCTGAGGCATGTCCTCCGGGTCTTAGTTTGGAGGAAAGTTGTACGGGGACCTCAGTAGGTTGGTTAGTTGCATAATTGGTGGATGTATTAACTCCAACTTCACTTTCCTATGGAGCTTTCTCCATTCTGTAGTATGGATAGTCAGCCATTTGGCTTTAGACCTGCTCTTCGCCATGGTAGTAACCTCCTTGCGAGGGGTCGTGGAATGCATTTCTTTGGGCTTCATATGGAGGGACTGGGTTTCCACCTATGCCCTGCATGCTCCTTAGCAGTTCATGCATAGTTAGGTTCTGCTGGGTTATATCTATTATATTTGTTGCCATTGTGGCAACCTCCCTTGTTAGCCTGACAGCTATCCTAGACCCACCTCGTCTATAATGCGGGTGAGGTCTATGGCGAGTAGTCGGGACATCATGCGAGGGTTCCCATTCTTCAGGGTTTTTCCTAGCTCTTCGAGATGTAGATCCTTCATTGTTTGAACTCATGTTGATAAACTTTTTTTGGGTAAATGATATTCCTAGACTAGCTTCCAATCGAACGGTTTATATCCGAACTTTTTCAACGGTTCTTTCTTCAAGAACACTTTTTTTTAAAGGTTTGAAAATCACTTCACCGTGAGAGTTAACTGGCTTTTTCCCACCAGTTTTTTGTGGTTAAAATGCGTGGTTTCCCACAAACGGCGTCAATTCGTTGACCCCAAAAAATGTAACACAAAGGTGGACAACAGATGCAGAGCCCACCCATGCCAATTCAAGCAAATTCCGGCGCGTTGACCGGATAACAGGTGAGAGAAGGAGAACACGTGAAATAGGGAGAAGCTTTACGACGCGTGACAAAAATGTTTGGGCACCGGTGATAGTGATTAGAATGATTGCACTAATAAACAATCTCTAGCAAATTGTAACTAACTTAGGATTAAACTAACAAGTATAAAACAAGCAAGAGGTGTATTTGAGAGTATTGGATTTGGTATTCAATTGACTATCCAAAAATTCAAGATCCCCAAAAATCTTTTACCATTTACAAAGACTACCTATTTATAGTGTTCTAGCTGACGTGATGCCCTTTGGATTAAAACCACGTGACCTCATTTCTTAGACTGAAGCTTCATATCACTAAGTCTACCATTCAATAAATATATTGACAACAGGTCAGCCGGCCTATACATTATGATGACACATCGACATTCTTTATTACAAACGTTATATCAATCATTTCTAAAGATTGTCTACAGATCTTGTAAGAGACAACTTCAACTCTAGGGATTTCGGATGAACTAAGGGCTTCTGTCGAAGGGAGCTTCGTATTGGTGGTCATCTATGTGAAGAGCTTCGAATTGTTCATTGATTTCTTATGTAGCGCTTCAGTTTACAATTTCGGCCATTCAGACAGTGTTTTGACATATGAACTTCAGCCTTTGTTTGACTTCTTTGCTTTCGACCACTTGGGTCTTTGTTGACTTTCCTTTCCACGTAGACTGCGACGTGACACTTTGACTGAAGTCTCGGTGGCGAGGCATAACACCATCCTAACGTCTGCTACCATCTAATTTGCCACCACAATTCTAGGAGAAAAATAGAATCTCTTTGGATCATTAGCTTTTCTTATATAAATAAATAGCTATCAAAAAATTTATTAGTATTTTACTCAATTTAATTCAACTCGACTTAATGAAATCCTATCCCATACTTTGTCTATGAGTGAGTATTGATTTTCAATTAATAAAACTTGTCCACTTGAAACATTTATCCTGTGCCCAAACTCTCTAGTTTGTGTCTGTTATACTTTTAAGGCAATGAAGGTTGCTATGGTTTCCCTCGTGAACCTTAATATTTCCTTCCATGGCGTCCAGTTGGAATATCCAATGAAATCATATCATTGACAACCAAGCCAGTCCATATAATTTTACTCTACCTTCCCTCTTCTAATATATTCTTCTTGGATTCAACACCTTTCTGAATTTGAGCTTTTCGAGCCATGAAAAAGAAAAATGAAAGAAGATAAAGCGGAAACCATATAATGCTTGAGCTCATATTTAGTAGTCTAAGATGCCGAAAGGAATAGTGGAAGGGAATCAACCTTTGTAGATCTCGTTCGTATTAGTGTAGCCTCGAGTTGCTTCTCCAAACTTTCAAGGTCAGTCACACTGAACTGGTCAGCATATTGCTCCTCAAGGCCCCTGATAAAAATAGAGAAATAAATAAATAAATGCACGATACTACGGTGAAGGGAAGTAAAGGGACAAAATATTACCTTTCTACTAGTTGTAGAAGCTCTCGGCATGTTAGGAAACCTGCATAGTTATTTTTCTGCCATGAAAATATCGAAAAGATCCGTCAGAGAAAGTATAAACAACAAATATAACCTAATTGATTCAAACTATAAATAGTGTGCAGCAATAGTACTTCAAAGTGAGTGTATATGTGTAATCACCCTGCATGAACAGTTTTTTGCTTTCCAACAGGGTAATTAGCACATAAGGCTCTCACCTTTCATTATTATTGTGAAAAATGTTTTTACGTTTCATTTTTTTGGCATTTTCACCCTTATTTTCAATTAATTGTGCAAAAGGTTCTTTTCATACATTTTCTCAATTAAAAATTGTAAAATGACGAATATAACACTCTTTAAATAAAATAAAAACCTAATTGCAACAATTGTCCTAAATTTTGCGTAAATGAATCATAAATAAATATTTAAAAGGGTAATTTAATTAACACATAATGTCCATACTTTTCACTATTATTACGAAAAACGTCAATACCTTTCATTTTGTTTTGATATTTTCATTCTTAACTATACATTTGATTGCACAAACTATCACTTCTATTCATTTTTATCCAATTTCTCAATAAATAGCTGTGAAATGAAAAATCCTCCTATTTAAATAAAATAGGTAAACAATTAATTGTAACTCTAGTTTCAATTTTTTTTAAAAAGTGCAAATGAGTCCCAAATAAATTATTAAAAAATTAGATATTAATTTTTTTTAAAAAAAAGTGCAGACGAGTCCCACTTAAATTTATTAAAAAATTAAAAAAAAATTGCAAACGAGACCCAAATAAATTATTAAAAATTAGAAATTTTTTTTTAAAAAATTTAAATAGGAGAGTATGTTCATCATTTTACAGCTCTTTATTGAGAAATTGGATAAAAATGGATAGAAATGACAATTTGCACAATCAAAGATGTAATTAAGTATGAAAATGCCAAGAAAAGAAAGGTAAGGACGTTTTCCGCTATAATAGTGAAATGTAATAACATTATGTGCTAATTACCCTATTAATAATTTATTTGGGACTCATTTGCCTTTAAAAAAAAACAATTGGGACTGGTTCAATTAGTTATTTCTTTTTCTTTTTGTTTTACTTAAACAGAAGAATATATTCGTCATTTCACAATTTTTAATTGAGAAAATGTATGAAAATGACTTTTGTGTAATGGAAAGTGAAAATAAGGATGAAAATGCCAAAAAATGAAAGGTAATGACATTTTCCACAATAATAGTGAAAAGTGAGGACGTTATGTGCTAAATACCCCTTTCCAGAACCTCTATGTTAAGATGAAGGGGGACAGTGAGGTAGGAATAAAAGTCATACGTGAAGCAACCAATCCTTCTAAAATAGTTAGCCACATCTAGGACAGTCTTTTCCTTTACCATCTTTCAAATAATTCCATCACAAAGTTATAGTTCGAACCAATAGTTCCAGATTGTCAAAACAGTCGGGGAGATGCCCCTTTAACAGCAAATAGTAACAAACCTTGTCATATTTATTTAATATACAAATAGGTTGACATGTTTTCTGATAGCTATCTAAGCTGTAACTCATAGTGATCCTAACCAAGGTATTAAATTAGCTATGACAAAAAATTATAGAGAAGGTAAATTAACCTGTGTCTCACAAACTTTTGCTGATGCACCTGGTTCTGCATCAACACGGCCGTGGCAAGGTTGCAGGATCTCAGATAACCTGATAATTAAGATTAGCTGAATACAGTACTCAAAACAAGAACATATTTACGTATTAGCAAATGAGGTACAATAATCACAATGCAATGACAGGAACTGGAAGTTCTTGAGGTATGCGAAGTAACAATAAAATATTTGACTGGAAATAAGTGCAGATCTCTTAACGAAAGTTCGCAGAAAGATTCAAGATTGTTTACATATAAATGTCTACAAAACAAGCAATTTTTCAAAAAATTTCAGACAAACTAGAATATATGTGAAGATGTACTGAGCTTTGGGCATAACTTCTTATTGTTTGTATGGGCTTCAGGCGTCTATAATTCTATACAATAACAAGTGTTAAATTCCGGTAATAAATCCCAAAAGTTCAGGGATTAGTGTCTCTTTTTTCCTTTAGATTACGTTTTTCCTTATTTAGTTTCCTATTTCTGAATCAAGAGATTAGGAAGGTTGTTGCTAGATTAGGAAGACCTTGGTGTGATCACTGTCACAAATCGGGGCCATAACACAGATATATGCTGGAAGATACATAGAAAGCCAACAAACTGAAAATCAAGAACGCTGCCGCCCAAAGGCAAGGTTTCATGCCATCAATGAGGAGAATATACCATTTGAGATTATACTTTTTAGCAAAGAGCAGATTGAGCTTATTCCAAAGATCCAGTCACTAAATAACATCCTCTCCTATTTCTGTCGAGAGCATCACCGGAACAGGTTCCGTTGCTTAAAAAAGAAGGAACACAACTATTGGATTGTAGACTGCAGCTGGTCAAGATGATTGGCAATGCTAAGAAATGAGCGGAACTCTATTTTCTTAACTATCCTAAAAATCTGAAAGAACGAGCTAAAGGTGCAAGTAGTGTTCCATTTTCTGTTTTGCCTAATAAAAATAGTGCAATCATGTTAAGGCACTATACATTAAGACATCCCAATTTTCGATATTTAAAAAGATTGTTTTTCAACTTTGTTCAATAATATCAAATTTGATTCTTTCCAATTTGAAGTGTGTCAATTATCTGAACATGTGAGAACCAATTACTCCATTCAAGGATACAAACCTTCTCGTCCTTTTGCAATCATTCATAGTTATATATAGGAAATCCTCTAAGGTCAATGACATTTCAGGAACTTGGAGGTTTGTTTTCTTTATTAATGATTACACCCGAATAACTAGGACAAATCTATTGAAATAGAAATTAAAAGCGAGAATGATTTTCTAAAACTTCAACAGGATGATCCAAATACAATTTCATAAAAAATTAAGTACGAATAATGCCAGAGATACTTCAATGGATCATGGAATAGTTCATCAAAGTTCTTGTATTGATACTTACTCAACAAAATGAAGTGGTGGAATGGAAAAATATACACCTCCTCGTAGTGTCCCAAGCATTTCTCTCAGCTACATACCTCATTAATAGAATGCCATCTAGAGTTCTCAAATTCCAAACACCTTGCTAAGTCTTTTTCCTCTCCTATCCAAATATTCGAACCATCTCATCCTTACCATTAAAGATATTTAGTTGTACAACATTCATTTATATGCATCAGCAACATCGAAGCAAAGCTTGATCCAACGGCCATCAAATGTCTTTTTCTTAGTTATTCACTCACTCAAAAAGGTTACAAATATCGCTCACCTATCGCTAAAAGATTCTACACATCTATTGACATTACCTTCTTTGAAAATCAAGCATATTACCCAAAATCCAGGTATACAAGAATTGAGTTTTTTCGTTTGACACTCCAATCCTTTCATCACCCCACACTTCCATTGCACCTTCAATGAGTCAATCACAAATCAAAGAGCTAATTGTTTATTCAAGGNTCCAATCCTTTCATCACCCCACACTTCCATTGCACCTTCAATGAGTCAATCACAAATCAAAGAGCTAATTGTTTATTCAAGGAGAAAAAACCCCCCAAGAGGAGATAAAGAATTGCTCACTCATGAGCAAAATCAAGAATCCAATCCGATTCCAGATTACTGCTAATAATGACCTTTATAATCTATTGCTTTAAGAAAAAGGTGTAAGGTCAACCTCTTTCTAAAACACGGAAGAATTGAAATCTTAGATCTAAATACTATGTATGGATGATATAAAATGTCCAAACAAGAATTCTTGAACAACGATCAACCAATTCAGATATTCACGATAAAAAAAAAACTGTCCTTTTCATGGGAATGGAAGAGGGGGAGGCCAATTGGCTGCTCACCAACCATGCCCTTTTATTTGGTCGAGCAATCATAATTTTCATAACTGGTGTTTCCTACCTTCATAGGACGCTCCTTGATCCGTATTATCAAGTCCATAAAGTTTAAACTCCAATAGATACACGATCTTAGAGATATTGCCCTCGCAATATATTGAATTACGTCACTATCTGATGCTGCCGCCTTCGATTCCTATGTTACCTATCCAAATGAACTCGAGTTGTTGTCTACTTTGGTGGGAAGCTTTCAAACTACCCTATACGTAACATGGTTTCCCAAAATTCAATTGCTAAAGTCGCGTGTTCGACATATGAACTTGTTGTCATTATGGCCACCTATTAAACACGTCAAGTTAAGCTCTCTCTTCATTCCCATTAGTTGTTACGGACATAAATGTCAAGCTAAGTTGTGGACCATGAGACATGGACACACTACCCAGTAGAAGTGCAAGTGTAATCACAAAATGAAGAGATTTAGCACAAGGAATATACCTTATTCGGGAAAAATAACTAACGAAAAAGTGCATGTGCAATCAACCTATTCGGGACCCTACTTTAATTGGGATGTGAATAATTTAAATTATTCCCTTGCATGTCTATGTATCAAACATCGTTTTCTTTACATATCCATTTTCTAATGCTTATAGAGGTTCTTGCTTTCACATGTTACATGTCCATATTTGCCTTCTATCAAATATAATGCCTCATTGAGCCTTTCGTATTAGAGCCGCACATCGGTAACAACTACACTTATTCAAATAGCAGTATGAATCCCTCAAATAAGAAAACATAGAACGAGATAATAAGAAAATCAGAATTGTTCAAAATGGATATCTTTACCGGTGTTCTTTATCATATCACATTAGACATTTGTATAGAAAACTTATCATTTGAAAATAAAAATGAAGGGTAAATTTTTTTTTTTATCACATCCACGCTAGACAGTTGTATAATACACTTGTCTATTGAAGATTAAAAAAATAAATAAAATGGCAAAACAAATGTTATTGCTAATTAATCACGTAAGCATCCATATGAGAAAATGCTCTGCTGCTTAATAATTTTCGATAGTATGTATTTTTAATCATGGACAAAAGATTGAAAGTGCTTTCCAAGACATTGCCATGAATTTGTGATCCATGTTAGATTGTGTGCCCATATAGTATATTTTGCTATGATAAAAAAATAATTTATAATTTTATTTATTTATTGCATTAATTTATTATTGAGCATGCAAATTAAAGTGCCTATGATCATTTGTGATAATATAAGTTGGGTATTTGCGTAGAGAAATACAGTGTGACAACTTATATTTTGATCATAAATAATTGTTCACGACCAATGCATAAGAATTGGCACTTTGTACCGGAAAGTTGTAGTGTTGATCCATTCATTATTTGGATTTGCGATTGTCCTTATCGCAAAAATAGTTAAGGGTGTGTTTGAGCCATATTATTTTGGAAGAATGTATTTTGGAATAGTAGATTGATGAAGAATCTGTAGTTGAAAAAGAAGGAAAAGTTATTGATGTGATGAAAAATATTATTTTATAGAAAATTGTGTGGTTGATATTGAGTAGAAAAATGAGAATGAAATAAATAATGTNTAGAAAAATGAGAATGAAAATTTTAATGTGACTCAAACAGGGGCTAGATGTGACACTAGTACACTTATAGTGTATTGAATGGATCATATGTTGAGTTTAATTTTACAGTATAACCGTGCGGAGAATTAAATTTCACTTGATCGATGTGTGTTTTATCTAAATCACTTGACGGAGTTATGTATATACTTTCGTGATTTTAATGATTCTTTGATTCACCGATGGGTGAGATCAATTTGATGGTCAAATATTTCGATAAGTTGTGAACTTAAGAATGAACGATGTAGAGAATATGAATTCGTTTCGGGACAGTCGTCTGGAAAATGGGTAGAGTGACTATTTAAGTATTTTCGGGTAATTCTACGTCAGCATTCCAACAACTAGTATCAGAGCAATCTAAATCGTTCACGTGCTTGTTATTTCTCAATTTTGATTGCGTGTTCAAATCGAGCAGTGTAAGAATAATTTATTATATGTTGATTGAATGATTGATTTATTTTAAGCTGTGATCCAATTATTTGTGGCCAGTTCTTGATGTAATTTGTTATTTTGAGTCGGTAACAAGATAGGTGGATTACGACTTCATCATCTTAATTTAATTTTTTTTTCCAAATTAGATTCAAACTTGTGAGCTTATGAGACATAAGATTTATGTAATTTTTCAATTCTTGTAATTGTTGAATCTTGTAAATTGATTAAAGATTGAAGACTGAGACGATGACGAATTCAAGAATTACAGTAAAAAAAAGATTAATTTATTTTTATGCTGGCAGCAAATTGCTGCTGCCCAAGCAGCAACTTGTTGCGTTTGATTTGGGTCTATTTTTTTACGGATTGGGTTAGATCTGATAAGTCGGGTTTGGAATTAATTAATTTTTACAAGTACGGTAGCAGAGTCATATTATTGTTTGGATTGCTACTATTGGATCCCTGGAGTTTTTTGGATTGAAGATTTAGATTAAATATTGATTTTGTGTTCAATTAGTTTTTTATTTAATTTTTGAATCGTTTTTGGATCGCAAATAATTGTTAATTTATTGCTTTACGAATATTTCAAATTATTTTTTGAAATATTATCGTTCTTGATATCATTACATATAGATTTATTGATAACATTGTTCGTGATACTATGAATAAGATGCATATCATTGAACGATTTTTTCTTGATTAATTTAATTTAGATT